TTCGCACTTGCATTCCTCTCAGCCTGTTCCCTGCATTCCTCCTTAAAGAGGGCACACCATTTAATACATATAGGGCTAGGAACGACTGCTTTGGTGAGGTCCAGCCAATCCTTTGTAGTACACTGCTGATGAGCCAAGCCTTGGAGGAGAGCATCTACCCAGGGTGATCCCAGGCCATCCTCAGCCACCGCCTTTTTTAATTTCTTCAAATCCTTCACCTCCCTGGGATGCCAGGGGTCAGGGTGTGTGCCTCCTGGGTTTACATTAATAGGATATGCTTCCACCTGTGGCCTCACAGAAGCCTCCTGAGTGGGGCCAGAATCCTGGAAATGGGGATGGTTTTCATGGGTTTCAGGAAGCCCTGAAGCTGGCCAGGGCACGCCAAGGTGCTGCTTGTTACTTTGGCCACTTTGGTTTCACTTCTGTTGCATTTCTGCATTCTTCCTCAAACCCTTCCCATGACTCCCATGCCAGAGGTTTCTGAAGGCTCGTCAGGAGGTGGTGCTGAGGGCTTAGGGCTCTCAGGCCAAAAGCATGCCTTTAAGGCTGAAATAATATGGCAGAACTCCAGCGGTGGACCAACTCCCAATTGAACCTCCCTTTGTCGAGCTAGACACTCCACATATTCCCATGTATCCCCAGTAAAAACATTAGCCCCAAGTAGCCAGGGAGCCAAATGAATTGCCTCTGCCCAAACCTTTTGAGCTACTGGATCTGACAGATCCAATCCCCTGCTTTTAAGCATATCTCTCAGTGCTTTAAGGGCCAGGTCCTCAAACTTAAAAGTTGCATTACCCATATTTTGGATCTTGCTTACCCCGAACTTCCTCCAATTGGCCCCAATCCTGTTTTCTTCTTTCTTTCTTCTTTCTTTTCTTCTTTTCACCTTCCTTTGAGCACCACGCTGGGCACCAGTTGCCAGGGGTTCGAACCAGTGACCCCTGTGCAGTGATGATTGGGGATGAGTAAGCACGCCGTTCACCAGCCCATGCCACCCCCAGTACCGGGAACACTCAGGCGCAACGGGGAGCCTAGTCAAGCAGGGACTCATTTATTGCAGGTGTTACAGAGCTTATAAAGGCACTGGAAATCCCCTCTCCCCCCCTGAGGGTGTATCTTAAGGATGGTCATGCACTGATCATGCACTCCTCAGCAGAGTGGAAGTATTCTTCAGACTTTCAAAGCAAGTCAGGCTGTGCCCCAGTAACTTCCTCTTGGACTTCTGCAAGGTGGGGCCTTTAGGTCCCCACACATATATATCACCTTTTCATCATCCATTCATCAGTTGATAGACAGTGTGATTACTTCTATTGTTTAGCTATTGTCAATAGTTCTGGTGGGACTGCAGATGTCTCTTCAACATACCGATTTCATTTCCTTTAGCTACAGATTGCTAAAGTAGTGAGATTGCTGAATCATATGGTAGTTCTGTTTTTAATTTTTTGAGGACCCTCCATGATGTTATCCATAATAGCTATACTAACTTACCTTTCCACCAACACCCATCACTTTTTTCTGATAACTTCATGTACTCTTTATTCTTCTTTGACTGATTTTTTAAAATGGGGCTTTTGGCTACTCTAACATTCCCCCTCTGAAGAGGTAACCCTAACATCTTTTTTTTCTTTGACATTTACTATATTTTTTTAAAAAGGGTATACATCTCAAGTTGTCACTTGAGACTCTTTGGGTTCAAAGATTTCTCATTCCCCTGTATTAAGCTTAAATTTATATTTGATTTCTTTCTCTACAGACAACACACATGAAAACACCTTTACTGTTTCCCCCTCTTTCCAGGTTATGTTTTATCTTCAGCGGATTCAAATCTAGATTAACTGTAATAGGATTCCAGGATGTGGGCAGATGTCTATTTGTCATTGATGATCTGTCTTGCAATCAAGTCTCTCATTATTTCATTGGTGCCACCATAGATTGGCTGAACTTGAGCATCTACATAAGCTTTTGCAATCAGGTACTCCCACATGTATCCCCAGCCTCCATGGAGCTGTACACATTCATAAGCTACACTGTTCTGTAATTCAGATGCCCAATATTTTGCCATGGAAGTGGAGACTGAGTCCAGATGTTTTGCTTCATGCAGTTGCAGACAGCTGTCCATAAAAGCTCTGATTACACAAATGTGTGTTTTTAATTCTGCTAGTTTATGCTGCACCATCTGTATGTGTGCAACTGTTTTCCCCAAAAGCTTTTCTTTGCTTAACATAGTTCCATGAACTCACAGGCAGGAATTGCCAGATCAGCAATTAACAGTCTTTCCTATGGAATCTCCTGCATGAGGTAGTAGAATCCTTTATTTTCTAATCTAAGTAGGGCATTAGCTGGCAATCGGACGTCTTCAAGAAACAGCTCTGCAGTGTCCTGGGCCTTCGATCCCATTTTATGTAGCTTCCATCCCTTGATAAATCCTTTCATTCCATTTTCCACCAGAAAAAGGCTTATGCCATGGGCTGGGGAGCGAGCTTCATGATTTGTGATGGCAACTACAATCACAATATCACTTACCCACCCATTAGTGATGAATACCTTGCTTCCACTGAGAATCCAATCACTCCTAGACTTCTTGGCATTTGTTCTTACTCCTTGTAAGTCACTTCCAGCCCCAGGCTCTGTCATTGCTATGGCACCAATCCACTTGCCTGCAGTCATCTGGGGGATGAAGTAGTTTATCTGTTCTTTTGTGCCAGAATTTACAATATGGAGCATGACAATATCAGAATGAAGACTGAAACCAGGGTCTGTGCAATTTGTGCATGCTTGTTCTTCCCAAGTGATCGCTGTTGAGAACAAGTCTCTACCAATCCCACCATGCTTCTCAGCAATAATGACCCCAGCAGGCCTTGCTTGCCAGCTTTTTCCCAGAGCTCTCTACTCTCTTCACCAGCTTTCTCCCATTCTGCATGATAAGGAACCACTTCTTGAGAAAACTTTTTTACACTTTCCTGGGAAATGTCATGTTCTGAAGAAAAGATTCTTCTAATTCCAATATCTGTTAATTTCTTAGCAGAAGCTGTCTCCAGGTGTACTTCCCCACCAGAGTGAGAACATCTGGGAACTGGCAACGCTGGCACCCAGGATGTGCAGGAAGTCTTTGAGGAGGCACAGCAGCCAAGGCCAGACCATGGGGGTGGCAGGACCGAGAGAGGTCAAGGCTCCCTAAAATCTTTTAAGGATTAGCTAAAAGCTCCCAAATATTTTCAAAATTTTTGGCCTTTAGAAGAGAGTATGTTGCTAAGAGGCCCAAGGACATTGTGAGTTTTAGCCAAGAAACTGGCTACTTTTCTTTAGGGTCTTTTTACCCTAACTGCCTAGCCAATTACTATCTACTATTCGTATCATGCCATCCTCTGAAGGGGTTACCCAAATTGCCAATAGGGAATAGGG